AAATCCAAACTGAGAAAATTAAATTATCTGTTTGCTCATGATATGATCTTATATCTAGAAAACCGTGAAGACTCCTCCAAAGGACTTCTAGATTTGATAAGTGATTTCAGTAAAGTTTCAGGATAAATTAATAAACAAAAATAAGTAGCATTTCTATACACCAATAATGATCAAGCTAAGAACCAAATCAAGAAATTCCATTTATGGTAACTATAAACAAACAAAATCCTAAGAATACATTTGACCAAGGAGGTGAAAGACCTTTACAAGGAGAACTTCAAAACGCTGATGAAAGAAATCATAGATGACACAAACAAATGGAAAAACATCTCATGCCCATGGCTTGGAATAATCAGTATTGTTGAAATAACCATACTGCCCAAAGCAATCTACAGATTCAATGATATTCCCATCAAATTACCAATGTCATTTTTCACAGAATTAGAAAAAAATTCCTAAAATTTATATGGAACCATAAAAGAGCCCAAATAGCCAAAACAATCCTAAGCAAAAAGAACAAAGTGGGAGCCATTGCATTACCTGACTTCAAATCATACTAGAAGGCTATAGTAACCAAATATACAGCATGATACTCGTATAAAAATAGACACACAGATCAATGGAACACAATAAAGAACCCAGATAAAACCATGTACCTACAATTAACTGATCTTTGACAAAGTTGACAAAAATATATACTGGGGAAAGGACATTCTGTTTAATAAGTGATGCTGGAAAAATTGGACAGCCATATGTAGAAGAATGAAACTGGACCCTATTTCTCACCATATAAAAAAATTAAGGTGTATTACGACAAATGTAAGACCTCAAACTATAAAAATCTTAGAAGAAGGGTGGGCGCAGTGACTCACGCTTATAATCCCAGCACTTTGGGAGGCTGAGGCGGGTGGATCACGAGGTCAAGAGATCGAGACCATCCTGGTCAACAAGGTGAAACCCCGTCTCTACTAAAAATACAAAAATTAGCTGGGCATGGTGGTGTGTGCCTGCAGTCCCAGCTACTCGGGAGGCTGAGGCAGGAGAATTATTTGAACCCAGGAGGCAGAGGTTGCGGTGAGTCGAGATCGTGCCATTGCACTCCAGTCTGGGTAACAACAGTGTAACGCCATCTCGAAAAAAAAAAAATCTTAGAAGAAAACCTAGGACAAACTCTTCTGGTCATTGGTCTAGGCAAACGTTTATGACTAAGACCTCAAAAGCAAATGCAACAAAAACAAAAATGGACAAATGGGACTCTAAAAAGTTTCTGCACAGCAAAAGAAATACGCAACAGAGTAAACAGGCAACCTATGGAATGGGAGAAAATATTTGCAAACTATGCATCTGACAAAGGACTAATGTTCAGAATTTACAGGGAACTCAACGAGAAAAAAAACCCCACCTTATTAAAAAGTGGGCAAATGACATGAACCAGAAAATTTTCAACATACAGGCAGCCAACAAAATATGAAAAAAGTGCTCAACTTCACTAATTAACAGAGAAATGCAAATTAATATCACAATGAGATGCCATCTTACACCAGTCAGAGTGGCTACTATTAAAAAGTTAAGAAGCAACAGATGTTGGTGAGGATGTGGAGAAAGGAAATGCTTATACTCTGTTGATGGGAATGTAGAATTAGCACGGCCTCTATGGAAAACTGTGGAAATTTCTCAAAGAACTAAAAATAGGATTACCATTCAACCCAGCAACCCCACTACTGGGTATCTACCCAAAGGAAAAGAAATCATTATACCAAAAAGACACTTGCACTCGCGTGTTTATTGCGGCACTATCACAATAGCAAAGTCATGGAATCAAGTTAGGTGTCCCTCAACGGATGATTGGACAAATAAAATGTGATGTATATAAAAATACTAGAAGAATTTAGAACATATGTATACACACACACATATATACACACACCATGGAATACTATAAGAATAAAATTTTTTTTTTTTTTTTTGAGACTCTTGTTTCACTCTTGTTACCCAGGCTGGAGTGCAATGGCGCGATCTCGGCTCACCGCAGCCTCCGCCTCCTGGGTTCAGGCAATTCTCCTGCCTCAACCTCCTGAGTAGCTGGGATTACAGGCACGCGCCACCATGCCCAGCTAATTTTTTGTATTTTTAGTAGAGACGGGGTTTCACCATGTTGACCAGGATGGTCTCGATCTCTTGACCTCGTGATCCACCCGCCTCGGCCTCCCAAAGTGCTGGGATTACAGGCTTGAGCCACCACGCCCGGCCAAGAATAAAATTTTTTTTGCAGCAACATGGATGGAACTGGAGGCAGAAACAGAAAGCCATGTTCTCACTCATTAGTGTGAGCTAAACAATGTTTACACATGGACATAGAGGATGGAATAATAGACATTGGAGGCTCCAAAAGGTGGTTGCGTAGGAGGGGCATGAGAGATGAGAAATTACCTATTGGGTACAATGTACACCATTTGGGTGATCGTTACACCAAAAGCTCAGACTTCACCACTGTGAGATATATCCATGTAACAAAAATTCACTTGTACCCCTAAATCTACTTTTCTATGTATTTCTGTGGAGGTGTTTACAGACTATGTACATGTATATTGCTTATCAAACTTTTATTTTATTTGACTGTTTAATCAGCCTGACTCCAAGGTTTCCTAGTTTATTCAATAGTTATATTCTGTTACTATGTTAATTAATTTTTTAGTGATGGAGCCTTGCTATGTTACTTAGGGTGGTCTCAAACTCTTGGGCTCAAGCAATCCTCCTGCCTCAGCCTCCCAAGTAGCTGGGACTGCAGGCGCACGCTGCCATGCCCAGCTAGTTAATTTATCTTCATGCATAAATTGTCCTCAGTTTGGCAGAGGAGAACTGTATTTCCTGTAGGTGCTAATTACCACAAGTTCAGTGCCTGAAAACAGAAGTTTGCTGTCTCAGACTTCTAAAGGCCAGACAACCAAAATCAAGGTGTCAGCAGGGCTGCATTCTCACCTCAGGCTCTGGTAGAAATTCTTTTCCTTGTTTCTGACAGCTTCTGGTAGCCTCAGGCATTTCTTGGTTTGTGAGTGTCATTGTTATTTTTGGAAATACAAGCAAATATGTGTATGTGTTTGTATTTCTTTCTTGCAAGGCAGCACATTATGCATATTGTTCTGGATGCTGCTCTTTTCACTTCGCATTATATCCTGAGTCACATTATCAGCAGATAGAGAGTGTCCTTTGAGTTCGATATGGAGTAATTTCCTTAGTCCAGTACACCTTTGCTCACACCCTTTTTCTTTGTACCATTAAATTGTCAAGTATATTGCATTTCTATACATTATAGGCTCAACAATACCTTATGTATACATTGTTTTGTACAATTTCATTTTAAATCATTTATGTGATGAGAGAAGAAAATACAAATTTATACTGTATTTTATAATTACATGACTAACTTTACTGGTGCTCTTTGTGGATTCAGATTTTCATCTGCAGGGCAGACCCCCAGCCCTCTTTTAGCCTGAAGAACTTTCTTTAGTATTTTTTGTAAGGCAGGCCTTTTAGCAGTGAATTATCTCAGTTTTTGTTTATCTAGGAAAGTCTTTATTTCACTTTTATTTTTGAAAGGTAGCTTTGCTGGTTGTAGGATTCTTGAGTGACAGGTGTTTTTTCTTTGAACACTTTGAATATGTTATCCCACTGCCTCTGGCCTGCATTATTTCTGCTGAGAAGTCAGCTGTTAATCTTGTTGAGGGTTCCTGCCTTATTTTTCTCTTGCTGTTTTCAAGGCTTTCTCCTTGTCTTTGCCTTTTGGCATTTTTATTATGATGTGTCTTTGGAGTTTTTCAAGATGTATAGATTTGTGTAGATTATTGAGTTTTTGTTGTTAATTTTGGGAAATTTTAGGCAATCGTTTCTTTGAATATTTCTCTTCTCCTTTCTCTTTCCTCTCCTTCTTTCTGTCATATGTATGTTGGCGCATTTAATAATGTCCCACATTTCTCTGAGGCATTATTCATTTTTCTTTTCTTCTGATTGCAGAATCTCTATTGATCTATTTTCTTTTTTATTTTATTTATTTATTTAGAGGCAGGGTCTCTGTCACCCAGGCTAGAGTACAGTGGTATGATCATAGGTTACTACAACCTCAATATCATGGGCTCAAGTGATCTTCCTGCCTCTGCATTTCAAGTAGCTGAGAGTACGGGTATGTACCACCACACCTGACTGATTTTTTTATGTTTTGCTGAGACAGGGTTTTGCTATTAATGTGGTTTGGTTCTGTGTCCCCAACCAAATCTTACCTTGAATCGTAATAATCTACACATGTCAATGGATAGGACAAGGTGGAGATAATTGAATCATGGGGGTGGTTTCCTCCATACTGTTCTTGTGGTAGTGAGTGAGTTCTCACAAGATCTGATGGTTTTATAAGGGGCTTCCACTTTTGCTCAGTTCTCATTCTCTCTCCTGCTGCCCTGTGAAGAGGTGCCTTCTGCCATGATTGTAAGTTTCCTGAGGCCTCCCCTGCCATGCGGAACTGTGAGTCAATTAAATTTCTTTTCCTTATAAGTTACCCAGTCTTGGATATTTCTTTATAGCAGTGTGAGAATGGATTAATACAGTTATGTTGCCCAGACTGGTCTTGAACTCCTGGCCTGAAGTGATTTTCCCACCTTGCCTCCCCCAATGCTGGGATAACAAGCACGAGCCACCGTGCCTGGCCTGATCTATTTTCAAATTTACTAATTCTTTGGCCAGGTGAAATGTATTGTTGAGCCCTTCTAGTGAAGTTTTACTTAAGACTGTTATACTTTCCGTGTCCAGAATTTCCATTTGGTTCTGTTTTATAATTTCTGTGTCATTATTGGTATTCTGCATTTGATTCAGTGTTGTCACATATCTTGTTTTATCATGATTTCTTTTAGTTCTTTAAAAAAATTGTAGTGGCTACTTTGTAGGCTTTTTCTGTTAAGTCTGACATCCGATCACTCTCTCAGGGAGTTTCTGTTGTCTGCTTTATTTCTGGTTTATAGGTCATGCTTTCCTGTTTCTTTGTATGTGCTGTGATCTTTTGGAAACTGGACATTTTAGATCCGGGTTCCTAACCCCTAGGCTGTGGACTGGTACCCATCTGTGGCCTGTTAGGAGCAGGACAGCACAGCAGGAGCCGAAGGGTGGGTGAGCAAGCATTACCATCTGAGCATCACCTCCTGTGTGATCAGTGGCAGCATTAGGTTCTCATAGGAGCATGAACTCTATTGTAAACTGTGCATGGGAGGGATCTAGGTTGCATGCTCCTTATGAGAATCTAATGCCGGATGACTGAGGTGGAACAGTTTCATTCCAAAAGCATCCCCTAACTCATTCCCAGTCTGTGGGAAAAACTATCTGCCACAAACAAGTCCCTGGTGCCAAAATGGTTGGGTACTGCTGTTTTAGATGATATATGTAGCAACTCTGGTTATGAACCCTCTCTCTAGGCTGGTTGTTGTAATTTACTTGTTTATTTGTTTAGTGACTGGGTGGCTTATGTTATGGGAATCTGCCTACGCCCAACCTCAAATTCCAATGTTAAATATCTAATGTTGCTCCTCGGGGAACTCAGCCATGGGCATGTCCACAGTCATCCCGGCATTTAGTGGGAGCTCTCCTTTGATCAGGGCATGGCTCACTTTTACTCTCTTTTCCTAGCCATACCCAGCTAGACCAGATAATGGCTCTAGTGTTTTAACAACACTCTGGGTTATAAATCGCCCCACATTGTAAACTATCAAATTCGGGATCCTTTGAAGGGTAGTTCCTGAGGCCTGTGTTTGAGATTTGTTTTGAACTCAGGCAGGCTCCTCTGAGCTGTCTCTTTTAGCAATTCTCTTGGGCAAACTAGCAGGTCTGCAGCGAGCCTACATCTGCTTTTTGCCCTTTAGCCGTCACCTGCACTGTTTTTGGGAGTGCCCTTAGGCTTGCACCTCCCCATACTTTGTTTCAGTGAAATCACTTTGGGAAGAGATTCGGGAGTTATCTGTTTTACAGCCTGCTCTCTCCAGGCACAATCCCTGGAGCTTGGTGGGTGGGGGGGAGGGAACCATGGCAAGCTTCTTTTTGGGTGACTCCCATCATCAGTCACCTAGAAGTTGAGATTGGGAGGTTGGGGGTGGGTAGTAGCCGGAGGTTTTCTTGGCTTGCCTCTCCTGTGGTGATGCCACCACCACAACCCCGGTATTTTTAGCGTCCAGTGCCCAAGAGCCTTCATCCCACAGATAGAAGACAGTGTGGAAGGGGGCCCTGCCCTTCCCAGGAGGGAGCCCTATCACAGCCGGGAAGGCCCCGGCTGATGTGTGTGTGTGTGTGTGTGTGTATGTACATATGAGTGTGTGTGTGTGTCTGTGTGTGTGTATGTGCGTATGAGTGTGTGTGTCTGTGTGTGTATGTGTCTGTGCGTGTTTAGGAAATGCAAGCCTCTGCACATAACCCTGTGTTTCCAAAACAGCCTGAGTGCTCTCCTCTCCACAGGTGCTTGGGTGGGACCCTAGAGACAGGGTCAGGGAGACCGGGCATCCCTCCTGCGGGGAGTCTTGAGGTGGGGGTGGGTCACTGGCCTCTCCAGATTTCTCAGCACCAGATCCCAGAGTGTGGGGGTTGCAGCGTACTGAGCCCAGCCCCCTGGCTCTGCAGAGCAGACCCCCAGCTGTTGGCCCCATGTGTGGACCCCTGTGGGTGCAGCTAGGAGAGACAGCAGCTGTGTGACCCATGTTTTACAGGAAATTGTCTTTACCTTTTCCAGTACATTTCTCAAAACCACAGCTTTTTCCACACCCAAAGTGTAGCACCACCAAAACAAGAAAGCAAGCCACCTTCCTCCCTGGGATCCCCCCAGGGCCTGCAGCCTGCCCTCTTGAGGTGATGAGGGCCTTTCCTGGGAGACTCAGGGCTGCCCGTGGGGGCTCAGCTTCCTGTTAGCTTCCCCAAGCACACAGTGCTGAGGGCTGGACCATGGATGATTCAGGTTTTCTGGGATTTTAGAAATTCCTACATGTGGCCTAAGGGGGAAGGGAGAAACGAAGCCACCATAAGAATGTCTGGGTCCTCTTTCAGCCAGCTGTTCGAGTGGTATTTACAATGTTTTTTATTCGCCTCACAATGTTTCTAAGAATATGCTTCTAATGTGCAGCTTCTGACGAACAGCAAGAGATAAACGTTCATGGGTTTCTGGTCTGCATGAAGGGTATCCTGCAGGAAGAGGGGGTGAAGGGGCCCTGTTTCTGCAGGTGGCTGGGGGCTCCCTGCAGGTGGGAGAGAGGGTGGTGACTTGAGATGTGTTTTAGATTTAAGTATTATAATTTGGCCAGGTGCGGTGGCTCACGCCTGTAATCCCAGCACTTTGGAAGGCCGAGGCGGGTGGATCACGAGGTCAAGAGATCGAGACCATCCTGGTCAACATGGTGAAACCCCATCTCTACTAAAAATACAAAAAATTAGCTGGGCATGGTGGCATGTGCCTATAATCCCAGCTACTCAGGAGGCTGAGGCAGGAGAATTGCCTGAACCCAGGAGGCGGAGGTTGCGGTGAGCCGAGATCGCGCCATTGCACTCCAGCCTGGGTAACAAGAGCGAAACTCCGTCTTAGGAAAAAAAAAAAGTATTATAATTTATCTTTATTATTTGCATTTCATGGTGCTTACTCAGCATTGAGCAGCATAGATACAGCCGTTACTCTAAGTGTCACCAAACCCAGTGTCTTATTTTTAAGTGAATGTGTTACAGGAAAGGGGTCCTGATTCAGACCCCAAGAGATGGTTCTTGGATCTCGTGCAAGAAAGAATTCAGGGTGAGTCCATAGAGTAAAGTGAAAGCAAGTTTATTGGGAAAGTAAAGGAATACAGAAAGTCTACTCCATAAGCAGAGCAGCCCTGAGGACTGCTGGTTGCCCATTTTTATGGTTATTTCTTGATTATATGCTAAACAGGAGTGGATTATCCATACCTCCATTCGTAGAGCATATAGGGTAACTTCCTATATGGAAACCCCTATTCAAGATGGAATTGCTCTGGTTCAAATGCCTCTGACATTTCCGCCCCTCCCTTTTACAAGAGAACCCTTAATCCTACGGTTTGCAGAGGGTCAAAGATCCATCTTCTGTAACTTCTTCAGGCCGAATGGGGCAATTATATTCCTACCTAACTGTTAGGTCTCTTGCATTCAGGGTAGAGAGGAGCTCAGTCAGAACGATTCAGTAGGCAAGAGCCATTCATAACTCCAAATTCTGGCAAAAGGTGGTATCTGGAAGATTAATAAGTGCTTAATTTAAGAAAATATTCGGTAAGCTTATCCTGCATTCCCACACAGAGCACCACAGCAACATATTCCACAACAGTAAGGCAAAATAAGTAAAATTTTCCCAAGTAAACTAAATAAGAAGGCTTTCCATGAACTGGGCAACTGTTGGAACCAAGCTGATATGGGATCACTAGCTGATTCCAATGTGTCTAGAATTAGAATATTGATTCAGATTTTTATATTACCCATCCCTCTGTTTCTTCTGAGCAGCAGTCAGAGATAACTGGTTGGTTCACAGGAATAAGCAGGGTTAGTCTAAATTTCAGGAAAAAAATTCTTAAAAACAACTGATGAGACTAGAATCTAAAAACAGGTGTTACCAGTTTTTGAAACATAATTTGTCTCTCCCTAGTCCCCCATTTTCACTGAAGACAAATCATTGTAAAACTGATTTGCTTTATTATACTTGGCCTGATTATTTGTATAAAGTGCAGCAAGAATAATTATTTTTCACATAGACTTTTAAAACTGGCTTTGATGGAACTCTGTTCCATTGAAGGAATCTCAGATAAGAGTTTTTTTTTTTTTAAAGCTGAGTCCAGCCATGTTTTTTACCCTCAAATACTTATGAGTTAGGTAAATTCCATTCCTCTTGAGGTCCCAAGATAACTTGGGGCTCCTGAGCCTGTAATAAAGTGACATTCTTATCACAGGTCAGGCACCCTGTACAGGGACTATGTAGACAAGGTATGAGTTTTCCCAAGGGGCTTTTATTAGCTCTGCAAGTCAAGTTTGATTCCTTAAAGGAAGACACACCATTTTCAGTCAAAGCCTTGGTAAAACAACCAGTTTCTTCAATTGTGTCCTGTTACAAATGAAAACAGATTCTTATTGAATTTATGCAAATAACTATATTGCTAAAAATTAAGAATACTCACAAATAGTTTCCAAATTCTGGAGAAATCAGGTACAGGGAAACAAATATGCTCAAAATTTTGTTCACAGGGGTATGCTTTACTTAATTGTTAAAAGCTGCAAATAGCTTAAGTTTCCTTGACTCTGATAAACAAAACAAAGGATAACAACATTTTAAGCAAAGTCAGACCTCTTCAGTTTAGTCTGTGCAATTAACTCTAGTTTTGCTTGATATTCATGAACATTTTAGCTTTCCATGATTCCTGAAAGTTTTTTCCTCTATTCTAACATCACAATTTCCAAAGTTATCAGAAACCTGCATTTAAGTACTCCTGTCAAAGTCCTGTAGTTGATTACAAAATCACCTTTTAAAGAGGACCAAATCAAGAGAATTGTCTGTGGATGACAAATATCTTAGAACAGCCACTATTAAAGTCACAATTGATAAGGAAATTTGGTTATTTAATTTTACATAACAATTATAACTATTAATAACATACACTAAATCATATCAGAATTATAGAAGTTTCTTATACTTTTGGAACACATACCAATAACATTTATACAAATACAGCCCAAAGAAAGCCAAACATTATTTCATATTTGACAGTGCTTCCTGTATGATTTTTATACCAAATAAAATGCAGTGATCTTGGCTCACTGCAACCTCCATCTCTTGGGTTCAAGCGATTATCCTGCCTCAGTCTCCCGAGTAGCTGGGATAATAGGTGCCCACCACCATGCCTGGCTAATTTTTGTATTTTTAGTAGAGACAGGGTTTCACCATGTTGGCCAGGCTGGACTTGAACTCCTGACCTCAAGTGATCCACCCGCCTGGGCCTTCCAAAGTGCTGGGATTACACATGTGAGCCACCGTGCTCAATCCCTAAGGTAAGATTCTTATACCTTTTATAACCCTTTATGATTTTTTTTTTTGTTAAAGGGCAGATTATAAGCAAGTTTTTGCCTTAAGAAAAACCTGTTGTGCTTTTATTACAATGTTTAATTTACAGAAAAAGTGAATACCCCTTTATATTTAGCCAATGTCCATACACAGAATTTCTTTACAATTAATTTTTTACAAACCTTCCACAACTTGTTCAAACTTTTAGCTTTATCCTAACTTAAAACAATTCTTTAATCCTTTAATCTAGGCAAAAACATCCACATTCCCATTACTTCTTATAATCTTTGTGTAAGAAAGTATATTCTACTTTCCTTACACACCATGGGTGTAGAACTGTTTCTTGTGTAGTCTCAAATAAAATGTTAACTCTTAGCAACTTTTACTTTTGGGAAAAACCTTGGCAAGTAAGGGATTTTAATAACATACCAGATGTGGAGCCTAGCCTAGGACCCACCAGACAGAAGTGAGATAAGGGCAGACTCTCCAGCATAGCTAGGAGTGTGGCTTTCCACAAGTCACCGTGCCTTATCTAGAGTCAATCTAATCTCTCCAAGGTAGGTAAATTGAACAATTTTCAAAAGTCAAAGAAGTAGTTTATGACCTTAAAGCATTTAGTAAACTTAATATCCAACCTGCCTAATTTAGACCAAATGTCTTTATCAATAATCTTTAAAACTGTTTTTATTTCCTTTTTTTTTTTTTTTGAGACGGAGTTTCGCTCTTGTTACCCAGGCTGGAGTGCAATGGCGCGATCTCGGCTCACCGCAACCCCCGCCTCCTGGGTTCAGGCAATTCTCCTGCCTCAGCCTCCTGAGTCGCTGGGATTACAGGCATGCGCCACCATGCCCAGCTAATTTTTTGTATTTTTAGTAGAGACGGGGTTTCACCATGTTGACCAGGGTGGTCTCGATCTCTTGACCTCGTGATCCACCCGCCTCGGCCTCCCAAAGTGCTGGGATTACAGGCTTGAGCCACCGTGCCCGGCCAACTGTTTTTATTTCCTAAAGATTACTTAAGTCACATGAACTAAATAAAAATCATTACACTTTTTACTTTTCTGACAAAATATTTGATTTAAGCATTTACTGTTATTAAACCAATTAATCAAAACTCTTTTATATCACACACACAACACATATAAATAAAAGATAGGCCGGGCGCGGTGGCTCAAGCCTGTAATCCCAGCACTTTGGGAGGCAGAGGCGGGTGGATCATGAGGTCAGGAGATCGAGACCATCCTGGTCAACATGGTGAAACCCCGTCTCTACTAAAAATACAAAAAAAAAACATTAGCTGGGCATGGTGGCACGTGCCTGTAATCCCAGCTACTGAGGAGGTTGAGGCAGGAGAATTGCCTGAACCCAGGAGGCGGAGGTTGCGATGAGCCGAGATCACGCCATTGCACTCCAGCCTGGGTAACAAGAGTGAAACTCTGTCTCAAAATAAATAAATAAATAAATAAAAGATAAAGGACTCATCCCCTAAGACAGGAAGTGGACCTTAAACCCAGGCCACCATTGTGAAAAAAGAAAGGACAGCATCACAGTTACAAGGGCAAGCTCTCAAAGACATACAAGACAAGGGGGAAATCTCATCCAGGTTTTTTTTGTTTCCAGGGACCTGCAACAACGTTTACAACCGACCAGTTTC